ACAGTATATTTTAGTAGGTATCATAGTATCTACCTACCTACATCATATTTGCTTAGGTAGAATATATATTTATACAATATGCATTATGCGTATACTTAAAAAGTATATATCACTTATATCTGCATATGTGTAATTATATGAATAAGAAACTTGAAATATTACAATACCACTGTTGTAAAGCCAATGGTTCGCTCAGTCTAAATTAATGAATCCACTTTCTGTTTCATCAATTGTCACAAATAATAATTTTTTCTACAACTACCTACTCCCAACTACCTACCTAATTATTGTTATTTAATACATTTTTCCCCAAAACTCAACTAAACAACTTACACATTTTAGTATTGTTATGAAAATTAATAATAATATGCACAATATCGTAAGATAAAAATATAATTTACAATTAAAATGACATGGAACACTAATAAGACTACTTTACCGTGCGATCTTTTTTTTTTTTTTGAAAAGGGGTGTTTTTCGGAAATGTTTAGTTACTGTTAAAAAGCTATTTTCGCTACGGGCTACGCGCTTGGCTGTGGTCTGTGGCACTGCGCTCGGACAAAAAAAAAAACGAAAATATTATGCTTTGACTTGCTATGCAACGCCACCTCAAGTAGGTCACTGGGTAAAAATGTACATTGAATCCGAGAGAACTAGAAGGTATTTAGTTTATTTTATCACTTAAATTTAGTAAGTAGGTACATAGGTGGGCTTTTATAATTGAAATATGTATTTAGAAAATTAAATTAAAATTAAATTGATATTGAACGAAATAAAATATAATTTTATTTGTATTTATTATTCATGAAAATAATTAATAAATTATAGAAAATAATGTGCATTGGTACTCACTGGCTATAAATACTACACAAAATTTCAAACTTTTACTTGACAGCTGTTTTTGTACTTCATAAAGCTGGTCGTAAATATAAAATAATATAGGAATGTAATCCTTAGTAGTACACATAATTTTAGCCCCGGTTTGGTTAGGTACCTTTAAGAGGGCTGGAGTATAATCCAATCTAAGGAGTAAAAACCAGGCATTTTATATCTCAGTTCATATGGGTCTTGTGAATGTGTTGAAAGTAAATGAACATTACTGTATGTGATTCGTAGTACCGATCACGTTGTATATAGGGCATCATAATACTTATGTCGTTTTACCTACGTGCATGCACATGTCACCACTTATTACTTTATAAAATTACAAACATTTTTTTTCAAAAAATACTGCCAGTGACTTCAATCACTACGCTCAGTAGGATTTTCCAATTTAAATTATGAATATGATCTATTTTTACTCTTTTTGTTAGTAAATTTCTAAGTAAAAAAAATTAATATTCAGAAAAATGAAATTGTCAAAGCATAGCTAATTTAGTGACGAATTTAAATCTGCTTTCAAAATTAATATCAGAACTTTATATTGGGTCTAGTGATTGAAGTCGTGAGCTATGTTTGAGAACAAAAATGAATCACGCTTAAACATGGGCAAGTTATAAATTTATAAAAAAAAATATAAACATTTAATAGACAAAATACTATTTAAAATTTAATATACTGTATGCACATTGAACTTACATGTTAGGTACATGTTAAACAATATCATTGCTAATAAAGTAGGTACATCAAATCAAAATATAAATAAAACATTTTTTTTTCGAAATAATCATAAGACTGTAACAGTAATTAGGTATATAAGATAAATAAGTAAGTATTTATATCTACCTATACGTCATATTTTAGGCATTTGACTACAGACAGATATCTGTTTATCAGTTATCTTAAAATCTTAAATCATAATAACGTACTAATTAAACTCGTATTATTATTCAAATAAAAAGTACCTATACGGTATATGTAGGTATTCTTTTAGAACAGGGTATATCAGTGGCGTAATTAGGAATTTGGTTTAGGGGGGATATACGTTTTTTAGCAAACACGAATGGTCATTATCAATACTTTGATCAAAATGTTAGTAGTAAAAAAAAGTTTTATCTTTTCCCTCTAATCAAACCCTAATTACGCCCCTGGGGTATATAGGCTATACCCTGTTCCAAAAGACACCAAGAGGCCACGGGCATAACCGGTTTTGTTACGTAAATCTGCAGGTGTCTTCTCTTTTGGAACAGAATGTACTGATATAGTACCTATAATATAATTAGGTAAACAAAGTCGATAAAAGTGCAGTAGGTACAACAATGAACAGAAATCATTTTCAGAATAAGGAACTCAAGATTAATGAAAACATCACTATCGTTAATCATTTTCAGTATTAATCACAAATTCCAATCTTCATATTAAGCAACCTGCCAGCATAACTTTAAATTATGAATTATGTGGTAGGTACGTATTTTTAAATTAAAAAATTTAAATTGTACTACATACATCGACCATATGGTCTAGATGGCCTATAGCCTATAGGCCATCACTCTTGCAGTTTTATACTCCATTATTCATCTGTGTGTCACCGTAAAGTATGTGGATATCATTAGAGCATTATTTGCAGGACCCCTACCGTTGGATGGGGTGGGATTGAAAATGTTTAATACAACTTCCTCATCGCCCGACCAGCACGCTCTGCATAAATTAACTCGAATTTTTTTTACTGTAATATGTTCAATTTTTGTTTAGCTCAATTCTAATTAGTAATTTGACAGTTATTATAAATATGTACATAAAAAACAAAACAAGGCACAACTCCCGGGGGTTATTCTATTCAAATACGCTATATAGGTACCAACTACAGGATAGATATCTATATTGTACACACCTACCTAAGATATATAGGTAAGTCGTAAATGTATCTTAAACCTATCTAAGTCTGTCCTTGAAAACTGCTGCACACAAGTTATATATAGTTAATACTTAATGTATGTAAAATCACGGAACATAGTATATGTACTAAAGTTAATAAGTAATAACAGCTCTGGACTAAGTATAGGACGGCTAAAAATAAAAATTACAATGTGGGGGGAGTTATAACCGCAACTAACCTCCTTCCTAATGGATTGCACGCCACTGTGGGCTGGTACCCTGAGCAGCACATTATATAGGTATCATAATATTATATACAACACATAATAGGTACATAATAAATTATATAATATAAAATAGCCTACGTTACCTATATACCTTGATAATATTATATTGACTGATAGAACATTCAAAATTATGTTATATATTAATATGTATAATACACAAGGACAAGGGTGAGATATTTGCTCACTGTTGGAGGGTGTGTTGCATCGCCACATTGTCGTAGGCATGTCTGATGACTGTGGTTTTGTTGCCTGAAAAACGAATTAAAAAATTAAATAAAAAAAGTACGATCGTGAAGATGAATTTTGCCATTATAATTTAGTATTTTCTGTAGGCACATAATTCGTTCGGTTTTACCTTGTGCAGCTGTGAGCTATTATATGGAAATATATGATGTAATTACTAAAAACCTTAACACAGATTAACACTACATTTTTGGAAAAAAATGATAGAATTTATTTACCAAACATTTTTTTATGACAAATTAAAATTTAGATTAAAAAAAATAAAACATTTTTGAGAAAATATTGTGCGTCTGCAGGATATGAAATTAAAATCACGAGCGAAAGTCAAAACATTTTTTTAGAAAAAACTGTAAGCGTAATAAAAAAAAAATCTATTTTAATTTTAATTTCTCTAAAACTAAGTATGTTAACACTATGTAATTACATCTTCATAAGTAATTCACCCAGGCAGCTTTATTTCAGAATTATTTGTATATTAGCTGTATAATTGTATATCAATCGTTATTAGTACCTTATTGTTTTTTTCTCAAATCAAGTAAACGAAACAATATTTTTATTTTTTACAATTTACAGTTATTATACACCAATTGATCACTTACTATTTTTATGTCCGTTTTCAATAAAAATGTTTGTCACTGGGTATGCTTGTTCCTTGTGAAGACTCATGTCCAAACCTGGAAGAACATTGTATAATCAAATACATGCACACACGACGAAATATATGAAATAATAATATGCTCCATCCACTTAAATTAACATAATATTAATAAAGTATTTATGTCTCTGACTTACCTACTAGAGAATAACACACCTAAAATATAATAATAATTATGATATTATAAAATATTAATTTACCGATAATCTCTTTTTCTTTGGACACTCGGAGCAAGTCAAACACTCTAAGGAATCCAAACAATATTGCACTGTTTACTACTGACCATACAATAATAGATCCAGCGCCAATTAGATTCGATTTCAATAGCTGTAAAGTGTAAACAAAAATAACATATCTAGTTTTAACCCATCACAAATATAATAATTGTTTTACTCATACACAAATCGGACTGATTACAGATACGCATAAATACATAATATGGTCATTATCTATTTTCTAAACCACCCGTATTTTAAATATTGATAACAAGAGAAAATATTATAAATAATGTTTATTATATGTTTTTTCAAAACACAGGTTTTCCATGTCCTCTCAGATATTGTCTAAACAAGAGGGATGAGGATTCACATTGAAAGGTAGACAAACTTATGAGAAATCTTGTATTACATTTTCAAATCTTTGATTTAAAAAGAAAATTTTTATGAATTTCGAACTCAAAATAATTTGCACATTTTCATGATTTTTACGTGATTTGTCAACAACTTTAAATGCTTATAAAAAAAATTGTGACTGGATTTTTAATAATTTTTAAATGTCATTGTTACAACTTATTAAGAGCCTTGTATTAAATTTTCAATCTTTTTTACTCAACGAATACAAATTTATTGACATTCACAGGAAAAAAAAATTATAAATTTGTCAACTGAAAATGTCCGTAAAAAGTTCAAAACAAATCAAAATATTTTAAAAATTTTATCGTGTATAGAAGATGCTAATATAAACAACCAGTGAAAATGTCATGTATCAAATATGTCATTTTTAGAATTACACCAAAAACCAAAATTGATTTCGTCAAAAACCGATAGTGCGTAAAAATTCCCGGTTTTCCTTAAATGTTTTTTGTTTTTCTCTGCGCTTTTGAAAATTACTGGGAATTTTAAATTTTGGCCTCCTTAATACACAAACTAGATTCACTTTCCCATCAAACAAGATACTTAAATTGAAAATTGAACCATTATTTCGACTATTTATAGTGTATACTATACACAGACATAAAAAAAAGTTTAAAAAAATTAAATTAATGAAAATAAAAAAATTAAAATAAAAACTTGTAAAATCAAGACATTTATTGCTCCGCTCTGAATCTAAAATGGGGGTGGCACTGAGCATGTCTGTTGAATCATATTGGTACCTTGTATAAGTCACCGAAATTTGTTTATTATGAAAGCATAAGCTTAGTACTTACAGGCATAGAATCGGGATTGTTCCAAAATCCTCCTTCCACAAAAAGCGGTGTAGCTATCACTCCCCACAATCCACCTCCAAAATGGACGGCAGTAGTTTCCAGCGGATCGTCCACTAAGCAAAATATAAATATAATATAATTATGTAACTATAACGAAAATTATGAAAAACAATTATTAAAGCTTGACCGTTTGAATAAAAATAAAAATGTATTTTAAACGAAAATCAGTTTCAAATTAAGTATAATATACGCGGTATTACGGTAACATGCACCGTATAATGTTACAAACAATCAAGGCTGGCATAAGGCACCGGGTGGCATATTTTTGACCACAATATTGTAAATTGTAATATCGCACCAGGCGACGAAATACTAAAGTCTTGCAGAAATAATAGTATAATAATAACGTAGGTGGTATAGCCATAGACCTATGAACTAAGTTAAACTAAGTTTTTAGGTCTATGGTGATAGGTATATAAATATTGTATAATACCTTTTAAACGTGGAACAACCCATTGCAATACTAAGTAAATGATACAACCAATCATGCCGACCATCACTGCAGAAAAGTGTGTGTACTGGTTGACACCTCCGCACACCGATACCTGAGTAAGTATAGTGTATAAATAGTGATAAATTATAGTAAATATATATAGGTAGTTTAGTACACCTATTATACTGTGTACATCCCTAAAACATAAGCTACCTACGTACTGAAGTAAGGATATAACTATATTACGTAAAGTAATAAGTAAATATATTTAATATTATTAATATTATATTCACCATTCCGTTCAAGACGGCGTTTATGGTCATCGCGAACGGCCACCTAGACTCGCCAACCAGACCAGCTTTGGCCATAATCAGTATGACCACTGCCGCGCCACTGCCGCCGAAAATTGTGTTAGCCACGCTATTGGCCACTATGACTCCGTCACCAGGTTTGGTAATATGGCCCAGGGATGCGCCATTGAATGACAGGAATCCTGATATGAGCAACAGGGTCCCCGTGGCCACTAGCTATATACAAATTTGTGTTTTTGAACGGTTGAATACTAGGTATAAAGTATAAACTAATAAATAGGTACAGCCGCGCGTATGGGTAATGTACCTATATATAAATCATATGATGTGATAACATATTATAGTACCTCCATAAAACATTTTATTGTAAGAATAATTTAAGAAATTGTATATTATGTGAAATAGGTAAAGCATAATATTAGTAGGTACCTACCTATTTTACTATGTATTGATGTGTGAGCGTTATTTAATATTTATAATATCATAAATTAATTAATAACCATAATTTGGCTATATGCGTGTATCATTCTATACAATGTGCCAATGCAAACAACGTTTACCGAGACAATTTTAACATATTTATGCAGATAGTTATTTTATCACTAAACAATAAGTTTCTCGGTCAACTTATGATTTTTTAAAAATATAAAAAATGTACCAGGATTGGCGATGCACCTGTAATAACTAATATGGGCTACAAAAATATTACCATCCAATCCGCTGCTGCAAGTGGGAAATTGTATATACCTAGACCCTGTAGCTACTATATGATTAGAAAAATCTATTTCTAACTACATCTAGTTTCTAACTATATATACCCGTTGCCCTCACCAAAATTATTAACCTATGATCGTCAAGGGCAGTTTCCATAAAATCATTATATTATACAACAGACATAGTCTAGTGGCTCACCGGCATCGAGTGTCCGTTGTATTCGTTCGGAGCGATGGTGCTAAAACGTCCGTTCCGCGGGCCGATGAACAGAGCTGCGACGAATGAACAGGTGCCGGCCAGTAGGTGCACTGTCCCGGCGCCGGAAAAATCGGAATACCCAATTTTTAGTAACCAACCGTCGGGTGACCAAGTCCAGTGTGAGGCGATGGGATACGTCACACCTGGAATGCGGAAGTAATAACTGATAGGTAAGTACATAAAACAATATTTTTATCTCTAGTTATTTCTTTTTTTTTGATAACTTTAAATTGTAACAATATGACGTGGTACCTACACAAGATCAGTTAGATTAAGGGGATATCGTAAAGAGTGATCACGCCAGCTTGAAATAATTATATACTATTGTGATGTACAGTGTAGTACTATAGTATTAATAGTGATTTGTGATTTATGTAGAAATATTATTAATAATAACATATTATAGACAACATGAACGTAGTACAATGCATAATATATTAGTATATATAAGTATATAACATAAGAAGGGTATATTTTAATATTTTATCAGCCGGACTTGAAATAGCAATTGCATATTAATGCAATGAAAGTGCAATGAAAGTGGTAAGACGTAGTAAGCACACAAATTACAAACTCGTATTAAAGTACAGATAGTATTCAAATACAAAATTTTATTTTTCATAATTTCTTACTTATTTAAACGATTTTTAAAAATATAAATCAATATAATAATATAAATTAAATGATTATGCTGATTATATTATGTATGAAACATTATATAAATGTTGGTAGTTAGAATTGGATAAATATTAAATAGCCGTCTTATTTGAGGAGACAAAGTTCACTTTTTAAAATTTTTTAGTTTTTTTTTGGGTGTGGGGATAATAGTTTCCTCAACCTCACACATCGCTCCTTATTGCCACCAATTAGTGTGCAGGGACTCTATAGACTCTAGAGAAAAAGGCTGGTCAAAAACGTATCACATACTATAACTCATACCTACAAATATACTTTATCGGTTGACATTAACGATTAACGCTGACGAAAACAATTAAATTTCATAGGTATTTTTCTTAGTACCAATTATCAATATAGTGAAATGTGAATGTCTTATAATGGTAGCTCTAGATGAATTAAGGAAGAAATATAAGAAAATATAAAACTATTTCATACAGGTATCCAAACTCAGGCCCGGCTCAAGGGGTAGGCGGCATAGACCCACGCCTAGGGTGGCACTTAAGCAGCACTTTAGTAAGAGGGCGGCATTTTAAAAATACTGATAATATATTGTTAGGGGTGGAAAATTTTGATTTTGCCTAGTTCACTATTTTCACTTGAGTCAGTCCTGGCCCAGACTCAAAAATAAAAATATTATATCAACGTTTTAAATTGTTGCCAACTTTAACATTATTGACCCTATGGTTTAGAACCGCTGCTCTAGTTGAGTGGTGCGCAACCTTTTTTGATTCACGACCCCCAAAATTATTTATTTTGATAATACGACTCCTCCCCCTTCCTACCAATATTATGTAAGAGTCTAGAGGATTTAATCCGGCCATCCACGCTAAGAGTCCGTGCACCTGAGCACGCCCTATTCGTGATTATAATATGTAGTATACTCAGGGCTTAAAGTGAGAAATTCCAAGGGGGGCTATACAGTCTCCATATAGTTTTAAGAGTTCCAAATATAATTGTATGTATAATGTATATGTAATGTATAAAAAGTGATTGTGTAAGCATATACTCATCCCACATTTAACCCTGAATAATGTTAAACCTAATTTGTTAAAGGGACGCTTTTTAACCACCGTTAGAAGTAGGGGACTGAGTCCACCCCAACTTTAACCCGTTAGCATACTGTAAGCACTTTGACTTACCCGATACGATAACGCTGTAGAATATGTATGCTATGAAATTGCACCTCTCCGCCACAGCCCCCGATATGATGGTTGCCGCGGTCGCTGCAAACACGTACTGGAAGAACCAAACGCCGTTTTGGCTTGACGGCATACCGACGCCCGCGAAGAATTCTTTACCGTAATATAAACAACCACCGCCACCGTACGCCAAACCGTATCCCACCAGCCAGTACGATATCGCGCAGATGACTAAAATATAGAACTTATAATAAAATATTAAAAAATTTAATATAATTACGACGCGTTGAAACGCGAAAAAGCACACGAAATCACTTTTCTATGTCATCAATTACGAGAGTATATAGCTGCATCGACTTTTCAATTATATATTTGTATATATTTTACATTTTTTTAATATTTTAATTATGCAGACTATATTATATAAGTAACCAGGGGCGTAATTTTAGTTTTTCAGTTGTTTGAACAAAATTCAAAATAAGAAATAAAATTACTCTTTGTCAGATTTAAAATTTGAAAGCACATATCTTCGCTTTCATTTTATTTTTTTGATGCCAAGGAAGGAGTTTTATAAAAATAATAGGTAGGCATATCCTGCTCCGTTACACACAATTCTTCACAGCAAAAATAATTTTATTGTTTCATTGATTATAATAAATAACAATATAGGTATGCTAATATGCATCCATAATATCATCACATATTGTACGGTTGTGTAATGATCAGCTCAACTATGAGTCTCTCACGTGATGCTGACCATTGCAATTAACGTATTGTTGTTATATAAATAACACCATAATGCTAATTTTGCACATCAGCACATCACACCACCTTTGGATATAAAAGGGAGGTCTGATCTGTTAGTTAGGTAGTTCTACAACAGCTACAAGCTGAAGCTCATAAGTTAATGACTTTGTAACAAGGATTAACGGTAGCACTCTTATAACTCTTTTACATAATTATACTTAGTTAAATAGTCGTATTATTCATATTAAAAGTCTGTGTTTAAATACTGTGTAAATAAAACTATTATATATAATATCTACTTGTGTTTAAGTTATTACTCGTAGTAACCAATTTGGTCACTACAGTTGTTATAATCGTAGGTCGTAACAAAGTGTTAATTAAATCACGCTTTTCGATAGTTTTTAAATTGTATAGTTTATGGGAAATGGTATATAAACTAAACTATAAGATATAATCTATACATAATAGGTACTCACATAAATCCAATATATTTTTCATCAAAATGTTAGTTACGTTTTTGGGCTGCACACATCCAGCTTCTAAACATGCGAATCCTACTTGCATAACTGCAGTCAAACATTAAACATTCAATCAATATAATAATTAATAATAATATTCATGTATATACAATACAAATATTATTTTAGATTTTGAACTCAGCGAAATAATGAATTGATTTTACAATGAATTTAATTTTTTTGGTGAAACTCAAAAACTAATAACCTAGAAAATAACTAAAACTAATAGACCTTTGGAATTTTCACCAAATATTAATATTAGCATTTTTAATAAATGGTGGTAATGTTTTCAAAAAATATTGACTCTTTTTGAGTTAGATAGCTTTGAGAAATTTTTCAAAATTTGTACTTTTTTTAAAATTGTCTAATGAAGATTTTTTGAACTTCTCAAAGTTATAAGCAGCTCAAAAAGAGTCAACATTTTTCGAGATTAAAAATGTAACGTAAGGTTCCTTAAAAGTTTCGTATAAAGTTCAATTTTTGACAACATTTTGAAAATTTTGAAACTTTTTTTCTGTTGGGGATTCATTTTCAAGTTTTTCTTTTCATAGTTAACATTAGATACTTTAATAGAAGATTCCCCTAGACCCACATATTTTTCTACCTTAAACAAAATAAAAAGTTTACTGGAATGTAACATTATTTTTTTATGAGCGTTTGAATTTAAAATATTTACAATATTGGATTTTCATCAGTAAACGTCTATCAATTTTTAATTTATTTTGCTGTAATACAAAAAAATAATAATCGTAAACACAAACAACTATTGAACAGCAGAACGGTCCCCACTTGTTCACCTTTTTTATAATTAAAATTGTTTTATTAAACATAATAATATAAAATACAACAGTAGGTATACGAGATTATTAAATTGATTTCCATTATTTTACTTTTTAACTATGATAAAAAGACAAAAGTTATAAAATGTATTACATATATTTGAATTATTCGTAAAAAGAGGTTTTAAAGTAATTATTTGAATATATAGGAGGAAAACATGGTTTTCAATTGAAATAATAACAATAATGAATGGACGAAAAAATATCTAAGTAAAACTTATATCAATAATTAGAAAAATAAACAATCGGAAAATAATTGCCAATTTGCCCAAAAAGCTTATTATAATTTTTGTTAAATCTAATTCTTAAATAATTACTTAATTGTACAATTAAAATTAATTCATGAATCAATAACACGGGAATAAAATTCCTGTATATAAAATAAAATATATTATCCCACCTTTATAATACTAAGTGCATACTGCATACCTATCACCCTGATTTGACCATTTTAAAAAAGGAAAATCTTCGCGATTTTATTCATATGAGTATTATAATTTATAATAATATGTATTTTATTTACAATGATATTGTAGGTGGTACAATGTTACAAGGTTACATCATAGGTTAGGTTATTACTTATAAGGCAATTACACGTAAAATACGTTGTATAATATAATATAGTTATCTGAAATTTCAACTCTTAGGTCTCATTGATAATTTTTTTTAAATATTTCTCAGACATTTTTTTCTATTTAGGTACAATATTGATATAAGTATACGAAAATCCTAATATAAACATTAAACATCTGTAGATACATAGCATATCTACTCTATTGTGTTTATTTCATAGATTCTAAATAATTATAATATGTGCATTTAGTTATAACTTATAACGATTTTCACTGACTGCAAACACGCCTCTTGTCTTTGTAACAATTCATTTGTTTACATATTATATAGTTTGGCGACAGTCAATGTATTTTAGGTGTACAGACCATTTAATCAGAACACGTTAAATAATTTTATATCATAGCATTATTTCTGGTATAAACTGCACAGTACACATTACATATTAATATACAATAACATAATATTCTATACGTCCCTCCCTATTAGATTTGCCGACGTTTTCGATAACGGCTTACTTCAAATAAAAATATATTGTGTTTTATACTATACCGATCAATGATTATCGATGTACCGGACTACAAAATATATAATATATACCCACATATTATTATTATCATGGAATGTGCCATGTATGTATAGGTACCGCAAACGATGCACATAACATTGATCACGTTTCAGATACGTTTGACCCTAATTATTTTTATCATATTTTACCAGTAATAACACGTGTATTATTTACCAATATAACAAGGTATTTACCTACCTATCTATTATAATATTTAAATATTAGGTATATTATATAATATAGTACCTATATACCTATATGGCTAAATTAATATAATAATATGTACCTACTTATTTAATATTGTAAAATATACTCAGTTATCGAATTTTAACTATAAATATACAATAGATCAGCATCCAAACAATACTTAATCATTTACTGGCAATCAATTGTACAAAAGTTAGAATGCAAAGTGATATATTTATTATGATATTTATATATTATATATATAATATATAAATATTATATACAATATTGTACATAATGTAAGAACTGAGATCTGTAAGATAATATAATATTTTTTTATTATCGACGTATACTGTAGGTATGTAGATATAAATATATTTATATGGGATTCGAAGAAAACCAAACACTTGTGTTTTTCATCTTAATATACACAACATCAGTAACAATGAACTATATTTAATTGAAGTTAAAAGTTTATCGTATTGTCGAATTCTATGTATGTTTGTATACAATCTTAATAGTTTTGAATTAAACTGTTTAAGCAACTCAATTATCTAATACGCGTTATCTACATAATACGTATTACAATTTTAAATTATTTAACTTAATATTAATTTGAATTTTGTATGCAACTGATTACTCAAGTGCTGTACACTATTTCGTTGAACTTACATATATTATACATTACATACGAGATATTCAACTGATGTTATTAAGGGCTAAGACTTCATAACTTCAAATAGATTAAAATATAAAGATTTTTGTACATAAGTTATTATAATAAATAATAATTAATATATTATGGCCACAACAATTTTTAAATTTTAACAATAAATAAAATAGAAATTTCTGTTGTTGTATGTATATTAAAAATAAGTGGATATCACTCTGCTGTACAGTAGGTTACAAGTGGGTCACTGTTTAATGGATTGTATTAAATTTGAATTCAATGATATCATATTATTATATACGAAAAACGATTCTGAGCGGAGACTGGATATTTTATATTGTTATTATATTTTATTATAGCCTATAAGTTGAATGAATATAATAAATTACAACAAAACAACTAAAATTTTTATTCTTATTTTTATTACCTATCGTTTCTATGGTGATAAACAAAGCGTTAGAAATTAAAATCCTATTTTTAGTGGTTTTTTTCTTTGCATTAAATAAAACTATTGAGAATATCGAAAAACTTCCTTCCTAAAGTACCATATTGATCCAATTTGCTAAAAGATAAGATGCTATATATTAAAATCCAAGCACTCCTTCTGGTATAAATTTTGTATACAGGATAAAAATAAAATAAAAATAAATAAACACCATTGTAAAACCACTAGATTTCTAGCTCCTCTTAGAATCTAAAATATAATTGATGAAATAAAATAATTTAAGATAGGTGTACACAAGAATTATTAACAAATAAGTATGAATTATTTACAAAATTATACCACGACCAATTTACCAAACCATCAATTTCAGACGAGCAAATTTTCCACGATAATAATGTCATACTACCAATTGACGTAAACCCGAGGAGACAAACCAGACACCAGCAGTTTACGTTTACCTGCATACTAGTTGCTTGAGTACTAATTTATTTCATAAAATCAATTACTTCAAAATTACCTAATGGAAACTAAATTACTTAATTGGGATATTGTTCAACTTACTAATTCGGAATTAACTAGTAGGTAATTAACCAACAACAGCTTATCTTAACAAATAGGTTCATTTATAATATTAACTACCATATTTCGAGTTTCGACCCACTATATTTGTTATTATAAAATTTAACCGTTAGGTATTTATAAATAAAACTCACAATTTCATTCTAATGATAAATAATCTGACCTTGTACGCGATGAAAATACAACTGCGTGAGAACTACACGACGTGTGTACACTGTACACTGTACAGTAACTCGAATGAATATTAAAATGTTTATAATAACACGAATAATTTTATAAGGATTAATTTAACATTATTATTTTGGTATACAAATTATTTACTTTTCTTGAGAATTGAGATACTACCATTGTAAAAAAAATGTGCATAGATAGGTATATAATATTATATATAGGTACATACTATAGGTTGTATTTAGAAACATCATCTATTTTAACCTACCCGATAGACAATAATGATGAATGATGATATAATAATACAATTTTCTATATTTTTTCGTTTCAAAATAAATTATACATTTTTAAATATTCATGGCACGGAGAAAACCCCTTTATGAATAAGGAAATAAAATTTAGAATCAACAACAAAACAATTGCATATTCGCGTGTTAAAAAAATCACATGACCGCTATAGATTGTTCATAATATTATTATTTATTTCACTTTTATTGCATCGTAAAATAGGTACATTTTGTTTCTTTAATTAAGTGAAATAACCAAAATTTACCTGCATCAGTATAAAGTATCCATTATATGATACCATACCTACATAATTTCATTTAATTTTAAAATGACCATACTAAACAAATTTACGAAAAAGTAACCAGTGTTGATAAGAAATTAATTTGGAAAATATCTATTATTTGGCTTACAAAAATAACCAGAGAGTAAATAACGGTTTATTAAAATTAACATTTGATATTCAATAAGATTTTATGCACACAGAATTATTCTAAGTTCAAACACTCCAAATCCCTTGAAAAAAGTGTATTCAATATCGATAGGTACTCGAAAATAATCTCTATTACCTATCAATATTATTATATTGTAGTTTTTAATAATGTCTTCTCATCGTAATAAAATTATTGGCCACATTGGCTAGTGGCTACATTTAAACAATATACAATATTTTGTTATTTTACGAAATGGGCGATAATACTTAAATGAGTCAACCGTATAAAATGGCGCTGGAGACGTAAATACCCATATCATATTTACTCGAATACATAATAATAATATAATTATTATTAAACTACTAACTATACTGAAATGAGTCACGCAAAGTGATTGTATTTCGTTGAAAATTTAACTTTAAAAACAAAAAAAACAATGCATATTATAATCATATTGCTGCATAAATTATAGTGTTCAAATTTTAAATCGAATTTTACTCGGCCACACGCACTTTCACGTTATCGTTTAGATATGGAATACCGTGGAAATAATTTCTGAGTACCTATCTATGTCATTATTACACATTTTTCTACTTCATCGTTGCGGTCATAAAACAATTGACTTTAATTAACGCAATCGTTCGTTTTTAGTGCGCTTTACCGGTTATACTTATGATAATATGTTTACTATGTACGCACACATAGTGATAATATAACATATTATAGTAATATCTACCTATATATATATACCATATACATAGGCGCCGCGGACGCGTTTGTCCCCCCTAGATTTCTTGAAATTAGGCATGACATATAATAACAATATTTTACATAGGTCATATCTAGGTAGGTATATGTTCATATATATACGTATATATTATATTATGTAGAATATTATAATATGTTAAATATGACAGTATAATATTAGGTATCTTGTATGCCTATGTATGACAAACGCTTCGATTTTTAAAATATATTATTTAGAATTGTTAATTTTATAGCTAACGAGATTATTAATGCTATTGGGTCGTGACCGATGCCTTATTTAGTCGTTATTGTTTTCGTAAAAATGCAAATGGTATAGTGCAAATGGTATTATTTATGTCTGTACAATATATTTATATAAGGCAAAGTGTAGCATTTTTAGTGATTTTTAAAATTTAAAAATATATACTCTAAAATCAGTTCTGATTGAAAATGAAAAAACTTCGGAGCGGAAGCAATCTGACGAAAGAAAACAATGAAAGAGCAAATTCACTCATCCTATATTGTACTTAGATAATTATTATAATAAGTACGATTCGTGTAATGATTATAAGAATCATAATGCATCTTTATAAACTTATTTTGAGGGGCCGAGGCCCTGGCTCTATGTTTTGTCATAAACTTAATTATTTTCATGAATAAAATATACTTTAAATTAAAAAATTAAAACAAGTTGGAAGAGACCGATGTTTATATGTTATACTTGGAATAACTTAACCTGCAGGGCCCTGCCACTAAAGCGTCAATGGACTGAAGAGTATTATGCCGTATTATGTATCTACTATCTACCTAATATATTCTACAAAAGACTTAGTAGGTAATATTAAATCGTTTAACCACGCGAATCATGAATCTCGAATTCAGTATACAAAATATGTAATTGTCGTCAAACAAAAATACATTTGATGTTCAGTGTTGTTTATTGTTTCAATTAAATATTATAAGTTCACCTATATATTGTTGCTTTTGCTCTTCCACATGAAAGGATAATTTTTTCCTATGGCGAAGTTGAACGGGAATAAAATACGTATTGCCGTATTGCAATTGTTTGTGGGCATAGCTGTAAATAAGGGAGGGGGCTTTAGGGGCTAAGCCCCCAAACATTTCCTACATTTTTTTTAAGCTTATTCAATATTATCAAAGTAAGGTTTTAGCCCCCCAAATACCAAACTCTATTTGAGCCTATGTTTACCATTTAATTAACGTTGCTTTGGCGGAGTTCACGGCTTCACACCTTACACAGTTACGCGAGTAACAGTTACAGTGACTGGTGGACCGTGGACGACCAGATTTGCGTATATTGATAAATTAATAATAATGTGTAAAATACTAAAACTTGTTAAAGTGATGAAAAAACGTGCAAGAAATTTAGACTGAGCCAGAAAATACGTATACCTACGTATCAAAACATATTGTACACGTCAGAAAGTATAGGTATTGTTTTCAATAGATACCTGAAAGTCACCAAGTCTGCCTGCATCGGTGCAGCAATCGATAAAATAAATGTAATATGTATTATTAAGTTCAGGTTTATTCTGTTTTTTTGTTTACACCGTGTGAATCTATGAAAGCGCAATCATGTACCAATACAAATAACAGAATAAATTAAAAACAAATATAATTTTTACACATTTTCACCAGTCTAGGTCGGCTTTTCGATTGCTTGTTATACATATTATAGGTACTATATGGTAGTATGGTACAATATTTTATTGATCGTAGGACTTTGTATAAGATTTTAATTAAAATGGCTACGCTTTTATACCATAAAGTAAAATATAAACATAAAATATATAAAAACAATATCGTAGGACATAAAATATATTTTACTATCTGCAGTGTCGAACTGGCACATCGAAAGCCCATGCTCAATTTTTTTTTAAGGGGCTCCAATGGGGCCGCTCCATATTAAACGGACTTGGGCCCCGTAAAGAAAAAATTGGGACTAAAAATTACGAACGATTAAATATTTCGATTTTTCAGAGTCCCTACTCCCTATGTAGACGCAGAAACACGCCAAGCAAATAAACAATTTACAAGACGCTAAAAAAAGACGGAGGGGCCGCGGCCGTGTTTGCACGGCTGACACTGTTTACTGTCATATTATTAATGAATAACAGGTAGTTGCATATCTGCGTCAACTTGCATTCAATTCTAAATCGTTTTTCGAAGTATTGGTACCTAATTACTTGGTTTGATTTTACTGCAGTTATATGATATATTGATATTGTACTTAGGTATCGTTTTACAAGAATAAAGGTAAAATATTTAAAAAGAAGAGTCCATCCTTGACGACATTATGCTTGTTACTGTGCAATATGCTACAAACAAAAAACATTTCAAGTACAAAGTCGCCTTAAAATTATACAGGTTTTAAATTTGTATTACCTATTTTATAAATGTTTGTACCATGTAGACGGGAATTTATTATAATATGACTACTATAATTTTGGTATAACGTAACATTTTAATGACTCTCCATGATATGCGTAGGTTTAGTGTATACATATTATATATTATTTTATATTATACTACATATCTATCTATATATATATAAATTAATGCTCGTTTATATGGGGATTAAAGACTTGGAAACTAATGAACTATTGTCACCAAATTTTTCAAAAATATTCATTGGGACTTGGGGAGTGTTGGCTACTTTGTTTTCTAACCCCTACCTACAGGTTGCCGTAAAGTGGCTCACACATACATTTCGTTTTAGCTCATCAACATCGAATATTTTTTTCTTTATTTAATATATTATGATTGTTTAGGTTACATAAATAAAAGATATTTTTACATTTAAATATTCTATGTTAGATCGTTATATAATATACCTATAATGCGTGTAGCTTATGTACTCAAAAACTACTCTGTTGATTTTGACGAAAATTCAAATTGTTCTTAGAGATATTAGGAAAGTTTTGAGATTAGTTTGAAAATATACCAAGTGCCACAGGCGCATTGCCTGTCTCGGTCAAATTAGACATTAGTTCACAAAACGATGTACATCCACGCCGATTAGCCCTTGAACTGATATTGGTTCACTAAAACCAAGATAATTATTCTTATAGTCTTATATATCGCCTTATTTTATACTTGTTTATTTTTTCACAGATGAAGTCGGCTACAGCTAGTATATTATATTATGTCCAATTTTCATTTCACACGAATAAGTTTTTAGTTTTTACTGATTTAAAAAATATAATTTATGTATTTTAGGCACGTCCAGTATAAAATAATACAAATTTTTCATCGACCATACTTTTTTTATTGAATCAAAGCCACTTTCGAAATATAAAATTTGAATAATCCCTTGTAGATTACAGTACCTACCTACAGTGTACACCTATTAATATACTAAATGAATGTGGGTGCAGGCTGCCGGGTGGTATTTTAAATCTTATCATATATAAGTATTCTATAAATCGTTATTACTAAAAACTAAGTATCCCGATTATTATTTTAAAAAATGCCTAGAAAATCTATTCACACTGTAAGGTTTTCAAACGATGTTTAAATTCAATTATAGTTCAGAGATATATTAATGTTAATCAATTCGCTTTTAAAATTTCTTGTATTTGAAATGGATCAAAAATATACAAATAATATATAGGTAATTCAACAAGCAGTTCAAATAAAAATATTTATGTTTTTTTAATATGGTTCTGAATATAATGTACCTATAGTATTTATGTATTATAATAAGGCCATCTATTTACTCACAGGATACAATTATTCCATTGATAACTAAGAACATATCGTCGATGTTGAGTTTTAATTCTTCCAAGTCCAGTTGAGTGGTCATTATATCGTTTAATATAACCGTTGAACTAATATTTAGAGCCATTTTACAATGAGAATTTAAAAAATACACGAATTATCAAAAAATTAAGGAAAAATTGTCTCTAACGTACAAATTACCGAAAATATTTATTATATTGTACTTATTGTTGGATAGAAAAAAATATATACCACGTGGTAGTTAGAAAAACATTATAATACATTTATACTGCAATGGAATAATACTAGACAATTATTTAATATTTGAGTGGAGTGTGGTTTCGGAATGGGCAGAAACCAACTGGCAAGTAAAACTAAGTAATACGCGCCAAACCAACGTGCGATTATACCGGTTATTGCAAATATGACTTATACATACATATAATAGGAGAGGGCAACTACGGCAATAAAGATGGAACGCGAATAACGATCACTAATTACCCATACATATATATATTTTTTGTTTGGTAGTAAATAAACTAGTAAACATATTAAGTTTTTTCTATATATACCTACTCATCGACGTCGATTTATATACGCAATGACAGTATTTTTCTACAAATTCTCGGACAGAACGAATTATATTTAATGTTGCAGTGCATCACGTCTCGAGGAGACAGAATAAAAAGAATTCACGATATACACACAAAGGCGTAATAATATAACCAAGTAATTACAGGTTTGCAGGGTCGGATTCCACCTGGGAATAGCATAATTATATAATTAAATAAGGTTATCTACTAAAAATGTCCGGATATTTTGTTTATGTAATCCATTATGATATATTCGAACTTAAGTGTTAAGTCGTACTAGGTATAATGCAACAATATGTTTAAGGAGACATAAAAAATAAAACGATATTTTCGAATACCCATTGGTTAATATATGATAGTCAAAATAAGATTCTATGGAAAGAAAAATTAGAAAAGTCGCACGGGAACTTTAAAATTTTAACTAAAACTGAAAGTGCCTTATTGACTGACTGACTGATCAAAATAGAGCCTAAAATATTATGATAGCTGGAGACTTGAAATGTTCATGGTACTTTCACACCACCGCACCGTGTACCTATGAGAAAAGATTTTGGTTCTCGTCTAGTACATGCTACCTACCATAAAATGCTACCTACCAAAAAACTGTATGCGTGTAGTATGCTAAAGCTAACGTAGTTATTTTTATTTTATTTTATTGCGGGAAAGTACATTTGAGTCATTACGATAAAAAATATATATATTATAATATAGGTTACAGTTGTACAAAATTATAGCTAAATTCAAATCAATGGCGAGCATATTCTAATACCCTTAGTTTGACAAATTTTAATAATAAACTATAGTTAATAAATTGTTATTAATATTTTTGTTAATTTGTTATTAATCAATAATCAGTAGGTCAACATTTTTTGGTAGGTATAATTTTACGGTAGGTAGCATACTACACCAACGAAGTTGCGGTATAGGTAGCATACTAGACGATAGTACCTATACTTACCAGGATTTTCCAAAATTCGCATTTTAAAAAGCTGCTCACTGCTCACTTTTCACACAATAATTGGTATAGTTTATTTTTACTTTTTAAATAGCTACCTTATTGTTGATCCTGAAAAAATATTGAAACATTGGATATTAGGATAAGAGGACATCACACCCGCATGTGTTGCCTCCGTCTTAACAATATCTGTATTTTCTAGTTCGTTTTTACGATATTTTAATTTTTAAGTATAAAGTTATGACTTATGAGTATTTTCAAATATTAATATTTAACATACTCATAAGTCGTAACTTAATTAAAAATTTTAATATTGTAAAAAAATCAATGAGAGAACATAAATAAATAAAATAAAAATAAATTTCAGGGGTGGTCAGAACCCTATAACCCTACCCCTGCGTACGCCACTGGCTAGGAATATAATATATAATAATACAATTCATTCAGTCTTCCAAAAAAGTTTGTTAAATATAAATAGTATAATAAATTATTCTTAGAGACAGTTATTTTTGATTTTGCGTGAATAATAAATATTGTGTAAAAATAATGAAATATGAAAAGTTAATTATAATCAAATTCGGGAAAGATGTTGTTGATAATAATTTATTTTGAAATTCTTTCTAGCTTCTATACTTAAAAATATACCAATTTGTCTAAATCAATAGTATTTTTAGTACCTAGGTGTATAATTTTCAATTCTTGACTAAACGCTGGCACGTGAAGCTTGATACACATAAAATCCAATCATTATTCGGAATATGTCAATAATCAATATTATATAGTAACTATTATTTTTCGTGTGACGTTTTTTGGAATTATGACTGACGTGCAGTCTGCAGAGTGAAGTGAGGAATATAATAATATTACTTAGTGATAATTTTTTGAGGTAAAATCAGTGTGCGATCGACTTGTGGTTCACCTGTTTTTGGTAACAAATCGTGTGTTTAGATTGCAAGCAAAGTAGTTTTTTAGAGAACGAAATTATTTTTAGTTTATAATGAATATTATTTCTAAGGGCAAAACAAAATCCTAATTTTTATATTTAAGAATATGAAAGAAAACCAGCAAATAACGTTTTTAATAAATACTTAGTTTACACCATAGTTTTACAAAACTTCTCATCTGTTTTTTTTTTTTTTTAATTTAAAAAGTACCTATCAATGCTATAGAAACTAGAAACTCTCGGAAATTGTATTTTTTATTTACTTACTTAGAAAATAGAAATAGAAGAACGTTTTACAAACAAATTGTGCCTTTTGGGTACCATGCTGGTAATTTAAATAATTAGAATAACACTTTACTATATTGAAAATAAAACTCTTGTATTATTTTATGATTACATATGTTGACGAAAACTGAGACTGTAAGTTTTCGTGGTATTTACATCACTCATGAAAAGCTGGACGTTTTCCGTTAACAAAAAATAAAATATATTGTAATTATAGTTAATGCATATAATACGTCACTTTACAAAAAATACGTGACAGTTTTCATCTGTGACATACATACACATATAAGTTGGTATTAATATAGTTCGATCCGTTAAAAATCCATCGTGACATCTGAGTTGCCACAACTCGCATGACATTCTTCGGTGCACATCGCTCGGCCAAACTTGCGTGATGTATCTTAAATTATAATGTAGGACGAACCACCAATTTGTAGTCATCACAGCAATAGCAATATAGGTATCAGCCAACAGATATGTACCTACATAATATACACAGCTCGGACGTTCGATTTAAAATTCGTACGCGTCCGGGTGACATAGGTACTTGCCAATATCACCGCCACTTGTTACTTGTTGTATATGCGTGTATACGATATACCTATATATTATATGTGCACTAATTCATATTGTATACGATAAAATTTGATACAAAATTTAATTTATTTTGTTGGGTTAGTATACCTATACTGTATATTATTATAGCCTATAGGCTATATGTAGGTATATAATATGGGATCCGTAAATAGAATAACAATTTAACACAGACAAATTCCACCAGTTGGTTGTAAACTATTCGGGGGATTCACAAAATATTTCTTCCCAATGATTCCCTTTAAAATATTTAAAGGAATAAATCGAACCATTCTTGGTTGATGGAAAAACTTCATAGTCATATTATAGGTAAAATAGATACTTATACCTATTCATAGGCGCAAATTTAGGGGGGGGGGCTAACCCCCCCGCAAAAAAAAAACCTAGGACATACAATTTTAATATGCTATATTGCAATGGTCCGCTTGCCTTTAATATATTCAGCTCCCCCAGCCAAAAGTTGAAATATGTACCTATAACCTAAACATAAAATGAATCAATTGACGGATTCACATATTTTACTAGACGTTTTATCTTCGTTACCAATCTCAAATAAATAATTATACTATGTTAAAAGATTATATTTAGGGGGCTGCAGCAGATGAAAAAAAGTGACTTTTAGACTAATAAGCTAGACAAAACTGGAAGAATTTGGTTTGACGGATTTAAATTTTAAAACGGATTATGATTGATCAACAAGTAAGTTTACTAGAGAATGATCTAACCGATTTTGAATATTTTTTTTTCTGCTGTGATATCCAAGAATAAAAATATCGAAAAAATATGATATTTTTGTATTTATATTATTCATTATGAGTTATGACACTAACAATAATTGGAATATTCAAAATCTCCTCGATCATTCCCTAGTAAACTTATTGATCAATCAAAATCCGTTTTAGAAATTAAAATCTGTCAAACCAAATTCTTCCAGTTTTGTCTAGCTTAATGGTCTAAAAGTCACTTTTTTCATTGACTGCACCCTCCAGCCCCCTTAAGGTTTATTTTAAGATACGGAATTTAAATATATTGAAAAACATTATAACAAACAAAATTAATGTTTAGATTGGTTAAATCTACATTAGTTTTGACTTTTGACAAAACCAGCTGCAGCCCCCTTAATATATATACTATACTACATTACTACCAAACTGTTTAGTATTATTACATTTCGATTACAAAATATTTTAGAAAATCCAAGGAAATGTGGTATGTATTAATATTATATTATTAAACAGAATCAAAATTTGATGTTGAATTTTTGTAAAATTGAATTCTTAAAAACTCGGAAAATGAAGAAATATTCCAAAGTTTGGCCTCATCTCAGGACGATGCGAATACATAATAATATGATGCTGTAGCCTCCAGACACACGCCACGCTGGTCACCCCTGGTAAAGTATATTAATAATTGCAGGTGCAATACAGTGTAAGTAATGCGCTGTATATTGGTATTTGCATAAATCCAATTTCACGTATGACCGAACACATAATAATAGGTAATAGTAAGTGTTAGAGTGCTAGTGCTAGTGTGACAGTATGCCGAGGGTATACGAAAGGACGACGTACTGGTCGAAATATGGTCCAGCTCGGTACGATCAACAGGATCATCAAGGCTTACGCGTTGGTCGGCTTTTGTGTGGCTGCGTACGCACTTCATGTGGAAATCTCACTGGAAAATGATCCGGATTTCGAGCCACTGTGTGACCTCAGGGAATACGTCAAATGTTCTCCAGCGTTTATTTCACCGTAAGTGTATACCTAATTATTATGTTATAATACAACCTGCACATTATAAGTTATAACATATTGTTGAAACAGATATTAAAATTCCATCTATCATATATCTAGGTATATAAATTATATATTTATTCCGTTGCGGTACTGTATAGTGTTTAATATAACGGTGCGATTGAATCGTCAATAAAAAAATAACGTATTCGTGATAAGCATTTTTAAAAAAAACGAACGATACATTTCTACAAAATTGAAATTATAAATAGAAAATTATGAAAAAATGTACTAACGTTTTCAGTTTTAGTTTTTAATTAATGATATACAATCTTTTATGATATCTACTCTTTAAGTTGAAACAGAGTTTTTAAGTTAAACTATAAATAGTAGGTACGCCATTTAAGAAAATTTAATGATCTAATAATCTATATTTATCAATTATCCCTCAACAAATTAACTAAAAATTGAATAATCAAGACATTATAAGAATTTTATTTTATTCAATTATGATGTTATAAATATATTATAGTGTATGTAACAACTCGAAATTTCAACGTGCTTACAATTTATATTGCCACGTTCAGTTTAAACATGAACTCAGTTAAAATTGTATATTTGATGATACTTACCTAATATACTATCGTCGGGAGTTGGGACAAAAGAACCAGGAGCGACTCAGGTTGTTAACATTTAAGCAAATTGTGTGATCTTATGCATTTTTAACTCTTCTGACTTTGGATTTCGCATTATGTGAACAGTTCTTTCATGCCTATCACCAACTCAACAGGAAATTTATTTTTCTGTTTTAGTATACCAAATAGTAAATAGTCTAATAATAATAATAATAATAATAATATATACCTAATATTATATTGTATTAAAACACATTAGGCTTAAAAAGTTTAAAAGTTTAAAAGTATTATATATAGGTAGTGTAAGTATTGTGTATTAAACATTTTAAGATCTCATAAATAACGGTATATTAATATATGTCAGCCATTAGGTTTGGTTTGGTTAGCTTCGATTTGGTTAGGTATTTTAATATATTTTGTAAGTACCATATAGGTACCAACATATAGTAATAACTGATAGTCGATAATATAAAAGGCCACACATTTTCAACTAGGTAGTATAAAAGTGGCAAAATCTGGTAAAAGTAATTTATAATTTTTCATTTATTGTGCAAATAGTAAATAAATTATGTATATTATTATCACTTGCACTCAGCATCTTAAAATGAAAACTGAATATATTAAGTCATTTAGGTGTAATAAAATATCACTATGTTTTTTTATTTAGTTCTTTATATTATAGTTGTTATATAATATACCAGTATTCCACAATCGTAGATGTTTGCTGTTATGTCTTAAAAACGAAAGCTTTGTCATTCAAATGAATTATTATTTTGAAATCTAAAAATCCCTTTATTGCTGCCATAAAATTAAATGATCTGATAAAATAATAAACTTATTGAATACTACAAATAATTAATATTAGTTTTAACAATAACTACGCTATATTTTAATCATTTATTTCACTTGTCAAACTGATTAAATATTATTAAGGTCGATAACTAAATGTAAATAGTAGTAAAATAGTTTAGAAAAATATAGATACAATAAACGATAATACTGGACTAACGTTATCCGTGCAAATTCCCCATTCCCCAACATGTTGTCTACAGATTATTTTACAACAGGTACAAGGGCACAAGGTACACAATATCCAACGATTGTCGGTATGTTAATCAGTTTGTCTGAAGTGTAATAGTTTTTTTTTTTATAATTATTATCGTTGGGCGTTTTTATGAGCTATATAAAAATTGTTAATTACTAATTAGGCCTATTTTTTTTTATTATACCTTATATTTACTTGATGAAACAAGCCCAGGGTTGGCACACCTGGAAATCCCCGGGGATACCAAATACAGTGAAAAATTAAAAAAAAATTTGTCATTAATTAGTTTTTGTTATTACAGACAGCAACAATTATTGATTTATGTATTTTTTTACATAAGTAGAAGTACATTATTTTATATATTTTAATAATGTTTTATAAAATCCTACTATAATACTGGCTAAATAATAGAATAAATTATTCGGACTAATAATTATGATTACACATAAAAAAATCAACATCTATTATCATTTAATTGTCTTATAATGAAAACAATATTATTATTATTTATCCAAAAATTCAAACACAAGATATGCGCCTTGTAGCATGCAAAATGCAGTACACGTATGTTGACTAATTTGACAACACGGGTTTGCAGAAGGTGTTTATTACGGGAGTAATAACGATAACATTAATATTATTATTATTTAGATATACATATTATTACCTATGTAGTATGTCACTATGTATTATTGTGTAATCATGTCTAATATGGAATAACAATAAATCATTTATCATTTGAAAACGTTTAGAGAACTTATAGTTTTAAAATTTGATTTTCAACAGGGCTTGAAACCGAAAAAAAATTTTCCGGTTTCGGTTTCGGTTTCGGATACCGGTTTTGATTTTTTCCGATTTCGGTTACGGTTTCGGATACCGGTTTTGAATTTTTCCGATTTCGGTTTCGGTTTCTGATACCGGTTTTGATTTTTTCCGATTTCGGTTTCGGTTTCGGATACCGGTATCAATTTTTTCCGATTTCGGTTTCGGTTTCGGATACCGGTATTGACTTTTTTCGATTTCGGTTTCGGTTTCGGATACCGGTATCGATTTTTTCCGATTTCGGTTTCGGTTTCGGATACCGGTATTCATTTTTTCCGTTTCGATTTCGGTTTTTAACGGTTTTAACCGGTATTCAAAATCAGTATCGAATATCGGTTTTAATCCCTGTATTTATAATAATTTATAATGACATAAAATACTGGCGTAGGAACCTACTTGCCAATGCCAAACATTGCGTGGCGTACGATTTAGCGTCTGGTTGCCTGACAAGTACTATACTACTATAGTATTTGCAATCAATGATAATATTTACACTGGAATGAATACGTAATTAATAATTATGACGTATTTAGTTATAGACTCTCTACTTCATAACACATTTTCCAAATGATTTGCGACCTAATTTTTTAAGAGTTTGTGTAACTTCATCTTTTATAAGTTGAAACATTTTCTCAATGAGGGGCTAACTTAATGCGTGTCCCACCCACCACATCAATCAAATTGATCACAGCTTGATTATATTATACCAATCTAGATTAGGTATATTAATCCAATAGAGTATGGTTGGTGGTGGGTTGGTAGGGAGCACATTTTTCAGTCGACGGCTTTTAGGGAAACCCAGACAATTATGTTAAGGCCTTATAATGTATTATAATAAATTATTTATAACTATACTATAATTATTGACTCAGTATTTCATAATTTATTGTTGGCTATTGTGTTAATTTAATGTAGGAAAATTATGCCACATAGTTATTTCTGTCTTCTGATCGTCTGTGGCGGCAGGAAAACACAACAACTTATAATATAGTAAATAATAATAGTATTATTGTTATACAATTTTTATTATGGCATATTTCTGCGTATACTGTTTTAGAATACGACAATACGATTAATCCATTTACCAAAATAATATATAATATATAAATATAATAATTATTATATTGCGTATAATAATAATATATTATGCGTCTAATAATATTTATATACCCTGTGAAATTACCTATACAAACATACGGGTGCCCGCAGACGAAGATTACTGCACCAGTGCAGCTAGACTTACTTACATAATAATATATTATTATATTATAAAATATTAATTATAATAATATAATATATTAGGCACCATTAATCATTATTAATATCAATTGCATTACTACAGAACTCAGAAAGTATACATAATAATATAAATATCTATATAGGTAGGTACTTTCGAGTTAATATTTTAGAATCCAGTAAAAAACTAAGTAAAACTAATTAAAAAAAAAAGAAGGCATAGCACATGACCTAGGCTACAGGTCTAATAAATGGACCAAATTAATAATTTTTAATAATATTATTATAAACGCGCCATGAAAACGGCAATATAAATATTATAAGCTATTAAAATAAATAATAATATAATTATTATAATATTTATATGATAATTTATAAAAACTAATAATATACCAACAAAAATACTATGTCAACTCCATGTAAAAAAAATGTAATTTAATTTAATTCTTCGTTTTGCTCACGGAGTAAACAATTACCCCAGACGTATTAATACAGTATATTAATAATTTAATATGATAATTTATAAAAGACTAATGAACTTTAACTTAGCATAGTTATTTTTTATTTAAAGATAACTTAACTTTAACTAGTTAAAAAAATTGGTTAACCTGCCCAGCTTTGCCATCATCCACATGATGTTATAATAATTAATTATATCTTATAAGTTATAATATTATATTTAATATTGATCGCATTGTATGATAGAAGGATAGAACAAATTTACATAATGTACACGATATTTATTATTTTCTAACATATGCATTATAAATTATATTATTCATAGCTTTTAAACAGAAATTCAATTATAGCCTATAGGTTTATTTTAAATGTGTAGAGCTTTTTAAATGTTAGATATTAATGTTATAATTTTTTGACTTCCGTTTCGGATATCATGTTATTTCTTAAGTTTTCGTCTTAAGTTTCAAAAAACGGTATTATTTTTTCCGATTTCGATTTCAGTTTCAGATATCGGTATTTATGTTTTCCGATTTCGGTTTCGGTTTTGGATATCGGTATTTATGTTTTCCGATTTCGGTTTCGGTTTCAGATACCGGTATTTATTTTTTCCGATTTCGGTTTCGGTTTCGGAAACCGGTATTGATTTTTTCCGTTTTCGGTTTCGGTTTCAGATACCGGTATCGATTTTTTTCGATTTCGGTTTCGGTTTTGGATACCGGTATTAATTTTTTCCGATTTCGGTTTCGGTTTCGATTTTGGTTTCGGTTTTTAACGGTTTAAACCGGTATTCAAAACCGGTATCGAAAATCGGTTTCAAGCCCTGATTTTCAACTTACGTTGGGTAAAGTCGTTAAGACATAGAGCCGTTTATCAAGTTTAATATTGCAATCGTTAAGTAATGCGTATTATAATTAATTCAATATAGGTAACTAATAACCTGCAATAGTATTTAGAGAGTGTTGACTCCGTCATACTACGGATTACGGAATAACATAGGTTACACATTTTAAGTTCAGGAGAATCCATTTTACAGAAAATTGTTGATTGTTTGCAAACTGTAAAATAAACATAACTTGCTACAAAATTAAAATACCTATCAAAAAAGCCTACATTGGACTTGCTGGATAATATTCTTACTTTTAAATTTGATAATAAGTCACTCTAATATTAACAGAGTAAAATTATATTTTCTAAACGTAACATTTTCTTTGTCATGCCGTTGTATACATTTACTCGGATAATAATATATACGGTAGGTAAGAGTGTAAAACGGACAAACTTGTCATGCGGTAGGACGTCCTCTTTAATATTTAATACTAATTAAAAATGCTTTAACATCCGAATTAGTTTTATCTAATACCTACTCATTAACGTTTGAATACAAAAGTGGTATATTTTGTTACTTTTAATACCTACTACATGTCATTGCCTATCACAATTTTCTTTGAAATTGTCAAAAATCGGCCTTTGAATCACATCGGCCCATTAGCTCAGTTGGTTAGAGCGTCGTGCTAATAACGCGAAGGTCGTGGGTTCGATCCCCCCATGGGCCAGACATTTTTTTGCATTTTATTCGTTTTTAGATTTTGGTTTACAATATTTTGTTTAAAGTATAACGATATTAATTGTAATTATAATTGTTCAGGGAATTTTTTTTTTTATTAAAAATCAGAACAGCTGAAAATGGTTATTTTATTAATCGCATTTAGTACAACAATAATAATATTATAGCTAGGCCTAGGTTACCTACTACCTACAACATATAAAAAATATAAAATTAACTTTATTAAAACTGTTATCTTATTTAATATTTTTACTGATCATTAATATTATTGATCAAAATTGAAACGTTTATCCTCGAACAGCATAATATTACATATACACCGTTTGACGATACATAATAAAATAAAATAAATTAACCGATGTTCACGCAATAAAAACAATAATGTTAGGTATAAAAAGTATTAAGAGGACGCTACACCCGCATGTGTTGTCTCCGTCTTACACACGTACGACATAGACAAAACGCGTTTAGGCAGTCTGAGTATAACTCGCTCAATTTTGGTTCTAGAGTAAAAATGCCTATTATTAAATTGAATTGTGATAATATTTCTAAGGGCAAGACGCTGCGGTTTTTCCATTATACCCAATATAACGTTCATTATATCGTTTAGAAATAGAAAAAATTTCACCATTTTTAAAATACCTTTGACTTTTAAACAATTAAATTTTTTTAAAAAACCGCAGCGTCTTGCCCTTAGAAATATTATCACAATTCAATTTCATAATAGGTATTTTTACTCTAGAACCAAAATTGAGCGAGTTATACTCAGACTGCCAAAACGCGTTTTGTCTATGTCGTACGTGTGTAAGACGGAGACAACACATGCGGGTGTAGCGTCCTCTTAACGATTTATCAGTTATAATATTTATCAGTAAAATATTATATTTACAGATACGCCAAAGGTTTTGGGATCGTCGGATATATATTCGGCGAAGATTCCGCTTTCAACGTGCCCAATGGACTCACCGGAATGTTATTCTACACCCTGTCATTCGCGTTGAGTACGTATATTATAGGCAATACGTAATAAATAATAATTATTATATTAAATAAGACCACATCCACCATCATGATGGAAATATTATATATTTTAGACAAATATAGTACAATCGTTGTCTCGAATCTGGATTAAAAAACTTTTGCAATATTTCCGAAAATCTATATATATATATAAATATAATGTACCTGCCAAAGTCAGGAAATTAATTAAATTCATTAAATGATAAAAATTATGTTTTCGATTATAAATTATAATATTTCAGGAAACAAATTTTACTGAAATTAATACGGATAAGTTTTAAAATGCATTTTAATATTTAATTCCAAAGAACAAAAAATTAAAGCTCTGATTAGCCGTTTTGGCTACCTGCTATGGTAACTTCTGCCTCTAACCAGGTATATATTTTTGACTTACCTATACGGTTATACACATGTCCGGATTTAGAGTTGTGGGGGCCCCAGGGCCCACATAAGGTTGACAAACTTACTGCCAAAGGTACTTATCTTGTGTGGGCCTCTTATTAGTTGAATTTTATAGGGACCCTGGGGCCCGGTCCCCGTTCTCCCTTATAAACATATTATTATTTAGTTTTTTGCATTTTTGCAACTACCAGACTACCTATCATGTAATTTTTGTTTATACTTTTGAATTCCTGCAGGTTGTTCGGACAGTGATAAACTCTTGAACATCCACTACTACCTGGCGATCGCGTCCAACGTGTCCACATTTTACTTGGCTTTCGTATTGGTGTTCGTCGTTCAGGAACTGTGTTTGGTTTGCTTGACCACGTACTTCATAAATGCTATAAGCCTGCTGTGTATATCGTCCAAACGGCGGAAATTGTTGTCGCTATCCGTGCACCTGCACAAACCCTGCAAAGGCGATTAAAACATCTATAAAATAGAGATACACCTGCAGTCATAAAATGTAATGTCGCAGCGTTTATAATAAAGTATAAAGTATTACACACCTATGATAAATAAACGTAATAAATATCCAAAATACATCCCTTTCATATTATATATTATTTATGTATTATGTAACATTATACCAGCTACATGTATCGTGACCTCAGATAAATGGTGTCTTAAGGTTTTAGTTTCCGTGTAAGCCAGCCTACGACTGTTTAAACGTTTATCCCTTACTATATATTTTGATGACTTTATGAAAATAATTAATGACCAAAACAAAAATCGTGATTGTTTTAATTTGAGTTTATTAGCTAAACCGAAAAATATTATACATTTGAATCATATAATATATAATATATTATAGTGTTATGTAATTTAATGGCTGTGAATCTCTTTTACGATGTGATAGGTTTTTTAAAAGCATACTAACAGTGGTTAAGACTTGTAGAGTGTATGACACGGTGCAATCTGTATCTCATAATCACGTTAGGCAACGAATAATAATTTACAATAATATATAAGTCGTATTTTATTGCGCTTATTCCGCGTGGGACCCGTGGGCGCGTGCCTCATATATAATAGTAAATACCTGCGGAGCTGCATCATATGAGACAGCTATATACTATATTTAATATTATATACAATATACATATATTATTTATATATATATATATTATGCAGATTGTAGGTACATAATATATTTTATAATGTATATTATATTATATTGTACAGTAATATCTCAATCGTATCTCCCGCGGCGGAGGCTCAAACATCCGATCGAGTGGGTCAGGTACGGAATGTCGGAATAGGTTTTTTTTTCGGGAGTGTCCCTCAATAATCCTCAACAGATCCAAAAACATCACAATGTATAGCTCGCCATATTCGTTTGTAGTATATTTTTATAATTTATAATATTATATTGGAGGTCGTCTCAACGAAAACCACGCGTGCGCGTACGACATTGAAAGAGGAAAATATAACATATTATATTATGTTTGTATATATAATCAGCTTTGTGTATAAACTTGCACTTGACACGATACACACCTCAACTAAAGGGCGAGGCGTACGCCAAATACATACCTTGTCGTCTTGTCTTAGAAAAATAAACAAAAAAATGAATTTAATAATTATTACAGTATACGAGTGGTTAGTGGTACTATTATAGTAATTTATATATTATATACCAACATAATGCCCGTTCCCGGGGTACGCTATGCTGATTACCATTTTACAACAATATCCCAATCGACTATCAATATTATTTATATTAGATAGTAGTTAATTGCTATATAAACTTAAAACACTCAACATTTTACTCTTATTAAGCGTAGCTAGTTGATACAATGTTAAGTTACAATTTCTAAAGTATTAATACTGAATATTTAAAACAAATAAATCTATAGCTGGCAGTCAAGTCATCCAGATAATCGGTAATGTCAAATGTCAATAATAGCCAGGACATCAGGAATTCAGGAATCATCTGGTGTCCTGGTGGCCCAGGCCACGTATGCCCTTTGCAATTAGAAAATGGGTTGACGTCATCATAGTTTAGCAATAATTTACTGTGATTATTACTATATTTCAATATTCTTTATATAGGTACGCAATAATACATTAATGCTATTGTTTCCACCACTGTTGTAGGACCGACTCGAATATGTATTTAGTCTTCACCCGTCTCCGGGAAATTGCTTTCAAAATCGCAAAATAGATTTAAATAAATAAATAATATTCTAATACATACACATAAGTACTATTATGACCCTCGTACCGTAAAATCAGAAATCGGCAACACGCTGCCTTCAAATAATTTTGTATGGGATTCGTAATAAGTAATACATACAATTTACTGCAGTTTGTTGAACATGTTTGTCGTACATATAATTTAAAGTATTAATAACCACGGATGACACGGTACCCATCCCCACCACGAATAAAAAAAATGTTTTAGCAAGCAAAAAGCGATCTCCTCAATACAGCGCAGGTCTTTCATATATAGGTACTATAATATTTATTGGGATCGAATACTTGAAAGTAAATATGTAACTATAAAATATTATGACATTCTAACATAATTTAAAAAAAAAAAATACGTATAAAGAATATAAAGATAACTTACTAAGTTGGTACCTATCTAATTCACTTCAATTGCTTTTATATTATATTATAACTTCTTAGAACATAATGTAAAAAAATAAAAATTTGGTATACACTATATAGGCATATACTTATATAATTAATTAAATTCTCGATAGTTGCAATTTACCCCGTACCCTACCACCATCCAATTTCCCACCACGCGTGTAGTTTTATAATTTGTATAATATTATAAGTATATTCCTTATTAAAATTTACATTTCACGCTTTCAATCTGCAGAATTCTTACCTATATTTTATAATCTCGATACTTTCACAATATCCTTAATTGCCGCACATCTCTGCCACCTGGTAACACACTAATATTATATAGCTAATACTATATTATATTATAATAGTCAGGTACTATACTTGTATAGGAATAATATTATTCTCATATCGTTGTTGCAGCGACGGCGGCGGCGGTCGATGCAAGAACATGTCTCGTTACAAATATTATTATTATTTATTATAGACGACTTTCCTCGCCCGATGTGCGCTATGTTATTATTATTAATTATAATACGTAAAATTGCACCGGTGGACGTCACGACGAGTTAATCTCGAAGAGCCTATAAATAATTGGCTGTATTATAATTTACATCGATAAAAAAAAAAGTTTGGGTATAAACATATCATACGGACATGTTAAAAAATATATACACGTGCCAGCAGAATTAATTACAAAGTCGTGTGAGTATAATATAATATATTCGCACCTTTGCCGCAGTACTTACCTATATTGGCGGGCGTTGATTTATCGCATGTACCTACCAATATAATACATATACCATTCTGTTTTTCGTCAGTCGCGTTTTATAATTGGCGTCCCTAAAGTTCATCGTTGAAACGTCCCTCGTACAGTGCGAATACGAATTGGCTGTTGGCGTTTTGGATAATATAATGAAAGTATTAAAAATTGATTAGTTTATTACTATATATAGTTTCGCAAAAGAAAAAAAAACGTTGCTAAACTTTGATTGTGTATTTGTGTTATAAATACGACTTTTTATGATCAAGGTAATATAACACTCCACCCCTCAAAAAATGTTCTCTAACTTTGTCTTTGCTCATACGCCAACGGCGGCCAGCGGTGTCGGATTAAAATTGTTGCTCGGTTAACAATAAAATAGGTATGTGAATATATTATTATTGTACTCGTCGAAGGATATAGATTTATAAATTGTTGAGCAAAAATATTTTTTTTTTTAAATTTGTTCATCAGTACCTATCATCTATTCCAGTTTAAATGTCAGTATCTAAGCACGAAGCACCTTAATATACTCAGTTTTAAATGTGATGTATGCCCTGAAGCAGCTTTTTTCTTCCAATATTATAATAATTTAAAAATACAACTATTATATCACGTGTCGTCATCCACAAACACGCAATATACCAACTACTATAGTACTATACATCTAATATCTATGTATATATAATATATAATAATTAATAATTATGTATTGTAATTATATAATATATCATACAGTATTACAGTATTACAAAAAAAATACTCAAAAATGAACTAGAAGTGTTGTGCATACCCAAAGATTATAAAATATAAACCATTTGAAAAAATTGGTACCTAAGCACTAAGCAGACATTATTGTATTTAAAAATACGTTTGCAGAGGGTGCTACATTAATCTATATAACCTAATGTTATGATTCATGACTATTAGGTATTTGATAATATATTTTATTATACAATACCTTTATCTACATAGTGATAAATGATAATAATATGATATAGTTGATAATGGAGTTTACTTATAAACGACGAGTTCACCTAGATTGACAGGCCTATAATATTAGATTGGATATATTATGCAATAAAGGATTATCAAAATTATTATTTAAATTTTTGGTGGTTTAGTGTAGACAAGAAAAATGGTTTTCAACATACTAATAGTATTATTATGTATAAGTTTATTGTACATTATTTTATAACGATAGGTACTACTGGGGCATGCGACTTATGCCGCCGCTTGGCAAACTGCAGCACGCGAACAAGACTATACGATGCAAATTGGCATTATCATTTCATACATAGGTTTTAACTTTTAGGTAATACATTTAAGTATATAATACATATTATTGTATTATATGGACATCGAACATCGAACACATATAAAATAATATAAAAACACGATATCGAACAAGTTAGGTATATATAAACGATTTACCTACTTGTAGAGTATATACTATATAGTACCTATAATATATATTCTGTACTACATATCCATATGGATACATTGTAATATTATATTATGCATCACGTTGTGTATATTCCGTATTCGTATAATATTATAATACACAAAATGTGTACATTTGTTTCTTTTCAGTTTACAGCTAATATACATTAATTCGCGCCGAGGTACCTATATATGGATACACGTCTTAGTGCACATGATAGAATACTTATACAGTTAAACTTGCAGGATTGCAGGTACATATAACAACTTACAGTAGGTATTAATATAGTGTATATAGTATATGTATATACTCGTACTGAATTATACGCATAAACTACGAATGTGCTATTATAAAATAATATTATCATATTATGGTAATGATGTCATATTATTATGTGTACACATCATAAGCGCACGTATTATCTGCTTCGTTAGGTTATTTCATATTTTATATATACTCGTTTTCGGCGAAGACCTATCGTACGTATTATTAATGTAATCATTATTACGTACATCTCGACAATTATTTGACATTTATATAGTGTTACTCAATGCACAGTGCACGATCGTAAAAATATTCTGAGGGTCGCATTAATATAGGTATGTATACCTAGGTAGTAAATAAGTGATCAATAAACTTGTGT